CAGTCCCTCCTCCATCTGCCCGTCTCACTCACTTTAGGGAAAGGGGGGGCCGCGGCGGGAGGGGTGGAGGGAGGAGGGCTGCTAAGGGAATAGACGTAGGGCCGTCGCTTTCGCACAGCACGCCGGGTAGAGAACGCCGCCGCCGCACGCTTAATAGCCAAATAGAGTCCGGCCTCTCCCCCACGCCGGCGCACTGAGGACGCAGTCGGGGTCGCCGTTAGAGGGCGGGGAGGCGCTCGGCCACGCCCCCGGACCCGCCCTCAAACCGCGTCCGGGTGTCTGGTGCGGTTACTCGGCGCTGGGGGCTCCGGCTCCGACTTTGCGGAGCGAGCCGGTCCTGGGCTTGCTGATGGTCAGCGTGCTTCGCGCCGGCAGCCCCCAGGCGCCGTCTCCGCCCCCCAAGAGTCTCGTCCGTGCGCCTGTCTTCGGCGCTGGTGTTAGCCTGGCCCGTGGCTCTGGCCGCACGCAGCCCGGCTTGAATTCCTGGCGTTTCTCTTGCATTCTTTGAGTGTTTCCGGCGGTCCCCAAGGGTCGCCCTCCTCTGCCTGTCACTCGCTCTGTCTCTGGTTTCCCGGCGCCAGTCAGTTCCCGGGACTGGAGAGACGTTGTCTTCTGGCAGACCGCCCAGATCCTTCCGGACGTGGTGACTGACTCCTCGTCTCCGGCTCGAGCTCGGGCGTTGGTCCCATTTCTGTGCGCCCGGTCGCCCGTCGCAGCTTGTGCTACTTTGCCTCCTCTCTTCTTTCCTGTTCTGCAGGGGGTTGTGTTGGGGGATTTGGGAGAGGAGCAGGAGCGATTGTTTTCATTGCTTTCTCTGGAGGAGAAGAGGAAGTAGTGAGATATTTCAGATCCTGACGATGGTGGAAAGATAACTTTGAAGGAGACTGGCTACCCTAACAAGTGGGCGTGTTAGAAGTGAATGACCTTACAGATACTGTCATTGAGGTCAGAATACTTGGCTCGAAATGGGAAACGAAAGCATTATAAATATAACTTTAAATCCTAGCTGAACGGCTAAGTATGTGTTCCTGGGTCATTAAATGTTATTGGAGTGAATATAATATACACATAAAAGACAAGGTTAATCTTTTAAGTACCATAGTGGGTATTTATATGTGCTTAGTTTCCCAGGAAATATCCTAATGCCCTAGGAATCTAAAAGTTAATACAGCTAATAAGCATTTGGTTGAAAAATAGGACAAATATAATTAACAACATAAGAAAAGCATTCACTTATTACTGCTATGCAGGAAAATTGCTTGTAAAATTAGTAGCATTTAAAAAATACTTTTTAGCCGGGCTCGGTGGTTCAGCCTGTAATCCCAGCGCTTTGGGAGGCCGAGGTGAGTGGATTGCCTGAGCCTGCAGGTTCGACACCCGCCTGGGCAACTTGGCCAGACCTCATCTCTACAATAAACCAAAAATTAGCCGGGCGTGGTAAAGCGCGCTTGTAATTCCGGCTACTTGGAAGGCTGAGCGGAAGGATCGCGGGAGCCCAGCAGGTCGAGGCTGCGGTGGCCGGGAGCGGCCACTGCACTCCAGTCTGGGCGACAGAGTGAGACTCCAACTCAAAAAAAAAAAAAAATGTTTTTTCCAGGCAACCCCCTCGGGTTCCCTCCCACTGTGGGAGCTTTTCTGTCCTCTCAATAAATCCTTTCTAAAAAAAAAAAAGATTGTTTCTTCCAATGAAATTTTCACTGTGGGGGGGGGAGCACACTTCATCAGTAAGGATACCTGATCTCAAACCAGGTGAAGTGGGGACGAAAGTGAGACCCAAAGTTTACCTGTACAATGACCATTTGTATTCCTTAACCCTGAATTGTACCCTACATCTTTAAAATTTTAAAAAGTGGGAGGCTGAGGTGAGTGGATTGCCTGAGCCCGCGGGTTCGAGACCTGCCTGGGCAACTTGGCGAGACCTCATCTCTACAATAAATCAGAAAACTCGCCAGGCATGGTAGCGCGCGCCTGTAGTTCTAGCTACTTGGAAGGCTGAGGTGGAAGGATCACAGGAGCCCAGCAGGTCAAGGCTGCGGTGGCCGGGAGCGGCCACTGCACTCCAGTCTGGGCGACAGAGTGAGACTCCAACTCAAAAAAAAATTTTTTTTGATTTAATTTAATTTTTAAAAGTTTTCACTGTGGAGTATACACTACCGACCACTCGAGATATATTTTCAAGAAGTATGTCTTATTTTATCATGTCTGCTTTACTGTTATTATAGTTTAATGGAAAGCAGATTGAACTTGTACCCATACAGCCATGTTTTATTTATATGTGAAATGAGGCCTTAGGTCATAGTACTATTAAGAACTATTTCTCTGGATTATTATGCTTTTTTAGTTTTTGAGTGGGAGTCTCACTCTGTCACCTAGGATGGAGTGCAGCAGCACACACAGCCACCACAGCCTCAACCTGCTGGGCTCAGGCAATCCTTCCACCTCAGCCTTCCAAGTAGCTGGAACCACGGGCATGCT